AATGCATGTTCCCACTCATGGGAACACGCCCATGGATGTCATGCAACTGTCCAACTGCCTGATGTTGATACTGGTGAAGCAGCCCTGGTTATCCATGGCTACACGCAGTATAACCAAAAAGAACCTCTTGTGTTTGATGTACTCTGAGGCACTGCGATAGGGGCATATAATGGGTATGTGGGTCCTGTTGATGACCCCCACACAGTTCAGGTGCCCCAGTGGTTTGAAACTGGCAATGAACTCCTGAGGGTCCCTGAGCCAGACAAGGCAAGGTCCCAGTCCCTGACATATGGCTATGCAGACTTCATGCATGGCCATTACTGCTGTTGTCCACACACAGTGAACTGGTTGGTCATGCAATGAAGGCTGTCAGGGTTCACCAGTTTCCATATCACAATGGCCATGCATTTCTCAGCAAACACAGAAGGCATTTATACACATGGGTGGGGTGGGGTGGGGGGGAACGCTTTAATTAGAGTGGCTCCAAGAGCTCTAATTAAAGCGCATAGAGCATCATGTGTATCAGTGTCCCCACACTGAACAATGGAGGTGGGGGCGCTTTAACTAAACCTCGTCAAATGACTGAAACTTTAGTTCAAGTGCTTCCACTGCCATTTTTCAACATGGGGACACTAATACATGTGATGCTGGAGTCTGCTGGAGCACAGAAATTACCATGCTCCATGCATGCAATTAATTGAGTCTGCTCTGATGTGTTGTAATTACAGCACGTTGGAGCAGCCACTCTGCATGTGTATAAGCACCCAGGGTGCCAAATCCCAATGTCTTGGTGCTGGAACAGGGAGGCCAGCTCATTGCAAAGATCCATGAATGTGTCATGAGATATCCTAAAGTTCTGCTGCCACTGCTCATCACCCCAGGTTCTGAGCATGAACTGCTCTCACCAGTCTGAGTGCACTGGTAGTGCCTAGTGGCAAGGTAGCATGGATACTGGGCCTGCAGTGTCAAAGCTTTGTTGTCATCTTATGCCTCATGCAGCGGGGCCAGCTCACTGCTCATGGCAGCAGCATCGTCCTCAAGGTAGCACATCACCAGGGCCAGAAGCTGACACCTCTGACATGGAGTGCCTGTGGATTACGGCCAGGGCAAGGATTTGCTCACCTCCATCACTTGCCCTCTCAGCAAAGCTACTGGTGATCCAATCTCAGCTGGAGCAGTCAGGCAAGGAAGGATTGTGTGCTGTGCCTAGCCATGGGATTTGAATTCACACCCTCAGAAGGTCATCTAATCAGCACTTTCCTCAGCCTTCTCCCACCCACTCCCGCAGCAGGACAGGAATGCAGGAGGCCTTGGGGGGAAGCGACAGCTCCCCTCATGCCATTTGACAAGGGGAAAGCTGCTGGGGTTTGGGGAAACAGGACCAGGTGGCATGGGGAAAAATTCAATTAACCAGTGGCTTTTTCCTGGCTCTCCCCTACAGCAGGGACAGGACACAGATGTCTGGCTCCTGGCCACTCCCCAGCACATTAAAAGTCAGTCAGAGTTGTGCAGGTCAAAGATCATATTAACCCTTAGTGCACGACTGCTTAGATCATATTGTAATTTTAATACCACGTAACATTTCATTGTTTTAGCAAGTGCAAACTGTAACAAGTAACAGCATCCTAATGTATTCTGTGAAGGTGTGGAAGCAGTTATACTGCTTATCATGCCACTAGGAGAGAATAAGCCAACAGCCTTTGCTCAAGGACAGTAAACAAAATGGAAACTTTACTACGTAAAAGCCAAATGGGAAGAGTGTCTATCTGCAGAGCGTACACCGCATTGCTACTTACATAGATGTCAATTCTTTATACGTCTTTCTTTGGGCCAAATCAATTATATCATTGGTCCTTGTCATGCGTTCACTTGCAACAGCTGCAAATCATTGTAATGTAGCAACCTAGTAAAGTTAATGCAAGTTAGGAGATAACCCTCGCCTGAAAGGGAACAACTTTGCAAAGCCATTTGGGCACTTAACATATGCTAAACTGCTCACATGCATGTCTGCTTGCATTTTAACTGCACTTAATAAGTGTCAGGTTGAATGTGTGACACCACCCAAAGTTTGTTCTTTTAGGCACTGTATTTGTAGCTGCCAGAAGAAAATAGATGCATGTTGTATTATTCTACATACATGCATTTCTTTGATATAAAGAACAAAAAGTCCCTATTACCTGGCACCCCTGACCGCATGACAAGAATGCCTTTGTTACTCAAAGTTCAAAATGACACATCAGTAGCAGCTTTACAAATAGACAGAGACCAGTGTGTAAATCCAATGTCAGTCCAAGTTTCTTAATGGGTCCTGCACAAGTAGCTCTAAACAATAACGTGTTTTACACGGAAAGTTCTAAACAATTAGACAAGTCATTACCTCATTATTCCAGATGGAGCTGCTGGTTTGCTTTGAAAGAGTATTATGGAATATATGAGGCAGGCAATATTTCTTAGAGCGTCTGTATAAATCTTTACCCAAAGGGGTTTTGACTCACTGCGGGGAAAGTGAAGACAAGCAGAGGGAACAGGGGGGCGGCTTGAGGAGGTTAAGTACTAATGTAATACAAGTAATAGTCATGCTGGGCTGTGCTGACTGAAAAAGTGGCCATCTGCCAAAACTGCATCTATTAAACCCAAAAGTGTTAGCCAATCTGCTGATGTGAAGACCACACATTCAACCATCTCTCATTACAGTAGTCCAGTGTTTCAGGAAACACAAACTCTCCTCTTAATTCCTTTGGTGCATCTCTATTTGTAAGTGACACAAAAAAGATCTCAGTCACCTTATCTTCTACATTCTTCCATAGCTTTGGTGTCATCATGTTGTGCCTCATGCAGCTGAGCCAGCATGGTGCCCATGGAAGCATCACCCTCTTCAAGGTAGCACATCACCAGAGAAACAATGCCCAGCTTTGCTGTGTCGTCTTTGCCATCAGTAGCAATTTTCTGAGCTTTCTTTACAGTTTCTAATAGTCTTATTGTGACATCATTTTCTGAGCCACCAGGAAACAGCTTGCTGTCCCAAGTTTCTCCCATACCATCTCC